GGGGGTGTTGGTTCATCTTTGAGCGCTAAATAGGCTGCTTGCACTGTGTGCTTCCTTGGAAGCCAAGAATGTTTCTAAGCCTCTTAGGGTCTGGGCACAGGCAAAAGTACAGCAGATAGTACAGCAGATAGTACAGCAGATAGTACAGCAGTTAGTACAGCAGATAGTACAGCGCACAGTTGGCTCAGAACGGCTACAATGTTTTTCTTTTTTTTAAACGCATTATTTATTTATTTATTAATTTCTTCATTTCTTTATTTGTTTATTTAACTTTTTATTTTTATTCACTTATTTAATGTTAACTAATTTATTTGTGTATTTATTATCTAGCGTTAATTTGTGTACTTATGTACTCATTTTTCATTTATTTACCTTTTTATTCATTTATTTAATGTTAATTAATTAATTCACTGATTTATTTATTTACTAGTTAAAGATGAATAACTTCCTTCTGTGATGTTATTGAACTTGCTCTTTATTAAGATTCAAAGGGTGAAATCCTTTTCCACAACATGACAAATATATTCAACCCGACAATTTGAACTGTAACTAAAAGGTACGAACAATGAGAATGGATGTAATGCCGATTACTAATGCGGCTGAAATTATCTTACTATTAATGAAAGCAATTAGCTTCAAAGAGACCTTCATGGTGCCATCCATAGGATGGTGTTATTGTGACACTTCGGTCCCTTGATCCTTACACACACACCTACTCTTAGTTAAACATGGATACAAGCATCACGTTTGAAAGATGATTACAAATTACAGTGCGAATGGATGTGTATTGTTCCCTTCCCCCCTAAGTTCAAATGTTATGGGATGTGTATGGTTGGAGTGAGTGGAAAAGCATGATGGACAATCTGAGGAAGGGTGAGAGATGAGTTCATTTAATATCTATCTATCTCCCTCTCCCGGGGAAAAGTTTTATAGGGTACGTTTAAAACTGATGGCTCAGATGATCCGTCAATGGAAAGTGAAATAAATGGAATGAAATATTACAGAGCAAAACATTATTGAAAGGTTCATGACACACCGGACAAATCAATGCAAGAGGATGAGGAGGAAAAGTAAGAAGTCAAGAGGAAGTGAAGGATGTTTTGAGGATAAGAATGAGATGGATCAAGTAAATTAAGGGGACTGAATATAGCGAAAGTTAGAAATCCGATCTACCAACTGGCGGTGCCAAAGCTGCCTTGTAAGGAGCAAAGGGGAAATACAAGAGTTGCAGCGTATGAATATAATAACCACTTAATAGTAATAGTGTCAATTGTTATGTATGGTTCAGTATTTAGTAATGTCATTCTTTCTGTGATAGCGGGGTCTCAGGGGGCGTTGCTCTAGCTTCCCTGGCTTGTCGTGGGGGAGCAGACGGGCTAGTGCTGCTGAGAGTTTCTTGTGAGTAGGTGAGGCTGATGACCTGTCACGGATTTCGGGTTCTGATGCCAGCTCGACAGGACAGTCAGGTATAGCCACTGGCTTGGCAGGGCTGTCAGGCACAGCTACTGGCTCAGCCGGGCTGTCGGGTGAGGCTGGTCCTGTGTCAGGTGTGTCGGGGCTGTCCGGCAGGACGGAAGTTGATTCTGGGTCATGCCGCTGAAGCTCTCCTGGGCCGTTTCTTGTTGGGACTTCTCTGGTGGTGGTGACGGCG